AGAAGCTTGCAAGAGAGCTAACTCTCAGGAGGCCCCTCAGAGCCAAATTGCTTTTTCAAAACTTCACACTCACAAGCCAGCAGTCCAGACAGGCAGCCACAAATAGCTCCTTGTGGGGGAGCACATTTGCAACTGACAACCTTATCCCCACATGTCTGGCCCTCATTTGCTATGCAAGCTACACTTTTAAGAATTAACATTTTGCCTAATAAGCATCCCCCTTGACACTGTTCTCTTTCAACATGTTGAAGCAGGCCACGGTCCCAGGAGGTAGACACACACACACACACACACACACACACACACACACACACACACACACACACATAGACTTGATGCAGTCACATGGTTCATAACTCCAATGCAAAAGTGTACATTGAGAGATCGCTCTTTAGCTCCTGATTAACTTTATTTTAGAATAGTTTTAGGTTTGCAGAAACACTGGAGAGATAGAACAGAAACTCTCATGTCTTCCTCATTCATCCGCCATTGTTATTGCCTTACATCACCATGGCACATTCGTCACTACTACAATGTCACGATGCGTGTGTGTTTCACTAGCACTTTTTATTTAAATTCAGGATTCTATATTTGTCATCACTTCTTCTTCAGACCCTCTTGGCTAAGACCATGTTCCTCGGACTTCGCTTGATGGCCAAGAATTGTTGGGTTGAGTGTTTTGTAGAATCCTCCTCAACTGAGGCTCCCCCCACTCCCCCACCCCCACCCCCGCCTCATAATTAGACTGAGGTTATGGATTTGTCATGGAGGAGATGATAGAGGTGTACTGCCATTCCTATCACACTGATCAGGAGGTCCAGGCTATTGTGGACCATGTGGGTTTTTGCTATGGATGCTAACTTTGAGCCCCTGGCCCAGAGAGCATCTACGAGGCCCCTCTGTGTAAAGCAGCTCTCACATTTATACTCCCTGCTCTGCTCTTTGGAGCAAGCTCCAAGCCACACTCACAAGGGGTCACAGTAGGGTCCTTTTGTGCATCTGTGTGTGTACATGTTCGTGTGGGAGAGTGCAAATGTGTGCCTGTGTGCATGTGGCGATCAGAAGAGAACCATGGATGTTGCACCTGAGGAGCTGTCTACCTCGTGTTTTTAAACAGAATCTCTTGAGACCCGGTGCTCACAGAATCTGAATTAGTTAGGCTTTCTGGCCAGATAACCCCAGATTGGCCTCACACTCATGATCCTCCTGCCACTGCCTCCTTCAGCAAATCTTACAAGCGTGCACCACCACAACTGGCCAGAGAACCCCAGAGAGAGTCCTGTTTCCCCCTCCCCGAGTGCTGGGATTACGAACGCCACCCAGATTTTCATGTCGACTCTAGGGATCAAGCTCAGATTCTCCCGGTTGCCCTACAAGCCCTTCCCTGGCTGAAGTATCTCCTCATCCAGTTTCTTAGTCCGGACTCAATTGGCAGGGCCTATAATGGGATTGCATCACCCTGTGCTAGAGCCATGGCTGAGACTAGGACTTTCCCATCATGAGACCAACTCCAGGGGGCACTCACCCATCCTCAGAAGCAGCTTATCCACTGCCTGGACTTCTGAGCTACCATTCTGTAATTGTATTGTGCCTTCCTGAGCCTTCTGCATCAAAAACACCCTTGACAGCTGGAAGCAGCCCCTCTCCACTAAGCGCACTCTCTCGGCTCCTTTCAGTGGCTTTGGGCCGGCTCTCATTTTGAGCTGAGTCCTGAACAAGAGTGTGTGGCTTGTGGCATAGTCAGTGTTTGGGGAGCAGAAGGACATGCACATGAGCTGGAAATGATGTGTGTGCTTTCTTGTTCCAGCTCTTTAACTTTCTACTAGGAATAAAACAAAACAAAACAAAAAACAAAACAAAAAAAAACCCCTTCAACTAGTTCTGTGTCTCCACTGGTCCCTGCACTGTGGGCTTGGCAAACCCAGTATGCCTCCTGGAGCCTGGGAACAGCTTCTTGCCCAGAAGAGATGAAACCCAAGTCCTCACCAGGGCACCATGCCGAACACACTAAAGTTGAAATGGGTGGAATCAGGACAGATACTTCCGATGCTAAGGTAGTGTGGCATGCAGACCCTGGTAGTGTGGCATATAGACCCCCTCCCCCCATGGCTCCAGGAAGGGTCTATGGGAAAGCTACATAGGGCACATTATTTATTTATTTATTTATTTATTTATTTATTTATTTATTTATTTATTTATTATACATACAGTGTTCTGTCTGCATGTGTCCTTGCAGGCCAGAAGAGGGCACCAGATCTCATTACAGGTGGTTGTGAGCCACCATGTGGTTGCTGGGAATTGAACTCAGGACCTCTGGAAGAGCAGTCAGTGCTCTTAACCACTGAGCTATCTCTCCAGCCCCATAGGGCACATTATAATATTCATAAATTCCTTGACATTCCTTTGAGAGAGAGCTCTATTAGCATATGAGTAGGTGTTGGCATCAAGGAAATGAAAGATCATCAGTTTGTGTGGTGATATTTTAATCTGTGTCCCCCAATAAAGTTTATCTGAGGATCAGAGGAAAAAGTCAGCCACTATATTAAACATAGTAGTCAGGCAATGGTATCACATGCCTTTAATCCTATCACTTGGGAGGCAGGGATCTGTCTGGATCTCTGTGAGTTCAAGGCCACACTGGGAACAGAGCCAGGCATGGTGGCACACACCTTGAATTCCAACACTAGTTAACCATAAAGGTCTGGAGGTCTGTACAGACCAACAGGAAGTGACAGACCTAGGCAGAAAGAGGAAGTGATGTAGCTAGGTGGAAAGAGGAAGTGAGATGCAGAACAGAAAAGCATATAGGTGTGGGTATACAGGAAGTAGCTCTCTTTGGTGGAGGATCTCCAAGTGGTAAGAACATGGCTGGCTTCTTTCTGCTTTTCTGATCTCTCAGCTTTTCACCCCAATATCTGGCTCTGGTTTTTTTTTTTTTTTAAATATCATTTAGCACTTCATCCTACAAGTTTATAAAAATCAACAAGGCAAAACAATGTACTCTTATGGAAGTCTATGAAAGTTCTTGGAAGGAATAAATGTAATCTTAGAAGTGGGAATGTTTTTAATTCCTAGATCATGACTGGACAAAAGGAAACTGTCTTACTAATACCTGGCAGCCCCTTCAAGACACTCTTAAAGATGAGGTCTGCAATGCACCATCCCACCCACCCTAACTGTGGTGTGGGTGGGTTGATCTTACCATGGAGTGCCACTACTCACTCACTTGTTCTGACCAACAGGCATTTGTGGGCCTCCACTTGGAAGCCCTGTGCAGTTATTCATTCTGAAGAGTATGAAAAATATTGTTCTACATGTCAGCACCACCTTCATGACTCATTAAAATCTCCTAAGTATACTTTTCCAGGACCAAAGTATACATATGCAAGCCAAAGATGATATTATTCCTAGGCCACACCTTCCAGCTCATCATCTTCTCTCTAACATAAACTGCCCAGCCCCAAAGGGAATCAGGAGAGGAAATTCTATGTGGGATGCTGTGGGTCAATGAAATTAAAAAGAATGTGACAACTTGATGTGGGATGTGACTTTTCTGTTGGTGTATACCAGGCTGGGGTACAGATAGATCCACGCGGGGCATGTGTCATACTCCCGTTGCTTTCCTTAGTCACAAAAATGTAGACAAAAACAAGATGTTGTGGATAGAACCGTGGTGGAATTACGTGGTTTCCATTAAACATAGTGGTTCGGTCATCTTTGACAGATGATAGCAGTTCTCTGGAGACTTGGATTTCTTAATCACGATGGCAAACATATGAACAATCAGTCATTCCTAATAAAGACTTACACATTATATCCATTGTCTGTCTGGCCCCATGTGCTGAGTGAACCGGTGACTGCAGATACCACAGGCTTACCCAACACTTCCCAAGATTATCATCCTACCTACCAGACCTTTCTTGCACCTATCACCATCACTCTTCCCATTGGCCCGTCATTCGTGGATGTCCCTAACTGCCACCACTACTAGTCCTTTCACAGTGCTAGTTCTAGTCAACTATCAGTTTACTGAGACTGGAAATACATTAGCCCATTATCAGCCTAAATTTGATAATCAGATTAGTTTACAAGGCTCAGATAAGATATTACCAGGATAAGTGTGTGTGTGTGTGTGTGTGTGTGTGTGTGTGTGTGTGTGTGTGTAAAACTCCAAACAAAAGAATCTAGATAGGCTGGTAATAGAGAATATTGGTTGGTAGTGTGTTTCTAAGAGCCAGAATGCTTCCCCCACTGGCTCTGTTGTCTTCAACAAGCTTCATAATTGCTTATGCTCCAGTCTCTTCCTGCATATTGCAGGAATTATAATAGTAACAGTACCCCAAGAGTACTGTTGCAGTTGAGAACATTAGATGAGAACATTTTTGATGTTCGTGAACAAGAATGTTGGGCACACGGCAAATGCTTAATAAGTTTACACGGTGAGGAAGGAAATACTTGAATAAGCACACATTAAAATATGGGCAATGGGGATTTGGCAATGTGGAGGAGATGGAGAAACATTCCTGGGTAAAAATAGATGTAAAATAAACCTTACCCCAAATCATTTTGCTAGTAATTTGTTTCTACTATAAATGTAGCACCCTCAAACTCTTTTCCTAACCTTCCCACACATACTTTCCTGGTGCTGAACATGTTCATGTATCAAAACATAGTAAAGGCTGCCGGGCTGATGGCTCACTGGGTAAGAGCACTTGTCGCTCTTCCAGAGGACTACAGTATAGTCCCCAGCACACTGGGCAGCTCACAACTGACTGTGACTACGGATCCAGGGGATCTGACGCCCTCTTCTGGCTTCTGTGGGCACCTGCACTCACATGCACATACCTCCATGTAGACACACACATATAACTACAAAATAATTAAATAAATCTTTTTTTTTTTAAATCCCACGGGACATATGCCCTTAAACATGCGTAATATGTGGTTTTCTATGTCAGTTAAAAAGTTAATTTAAAAACGTACTTTATAACGCCACCCACCTTTGGCAAAGGTTGTCTGCTCCAGTTTCTGCAGGGACTGTTCCTTTAAGTTGTCTCTCATGGCCAGAAGCCTTTCGTTCACTACATAGAGGGACGAGGCTAGGACGGTGTCATCGGGTCATTGTGGCAGCTTAGATGACAGGTCGCTTGGCCGTTGAACCCATGAAAGAGGAAATGGTTGAACGTAGTCACTCGTACCTATGCAAGAACAGAAGCAAGGTCAAAAGTTGAAGCTTAGAGGACAGAGAAGGAGCAATCTTAAGTCTAGACGGCATATTAACAGCAAGGGCTTGCTGTGTCGGCCTCTGTTTATAGGGGGTTTTTTGCTGACAGCATGGAACCTGAACCTGCCTTTCTCCTCATCCAGCAGGTTCTACTCTGCTGTCCGAGGGCACCTCTTCGCAGAGCACCTTGAAGGATTGAAGATCAGAGCTGTGACTAGAACCTGCAAGACAGGGAGGGGGAAAGGAAGGGCATAGGAATTTAACACAGTGGGCAGGAGGTGAATCTGCTGTGAAGGCCAGGCTGATGTGCACAGCTGTATTCTCCCCTCCCAGGGACATTTTCCTAGCAGCACACGAGAGAATAGATGGATGGCTCACCAGACATTTCCTGTATGTATGATGTTTTCTTAAGGAAAGGAGTTCTGAGGGCTTTTTTTTTTTTCTTTCCTACTTAATCATTTTTGTAAAAAAAAAAAATTATTAAATGATTTTGGATATGGTATCAGGCAGTGGCTGATGGGAGTATAAATCCATTTCACCTTTCTGGAAAGTAATTTGGCAACATGTAACAAAAAGCCATCAAAATGGGCATATCCTTGACTAAGAAATTCCACTGCTAGGAATTTATGGAAACAGTGGCATAAATATTTATATAACAGAGCATTCCTCATGAAATAATTATAATCACTCCCCAAATGGGACTCATTTAAATACTCTGAAATAGGAGATGGCTTAAATATCATACAGCAGGAATGCCAAGTAGCCACTCAACAGCTTCCTAGACGTATTTAATTGCATTGAATACAAGGCTATGCTTGGGGTTCGCTGGGGAATGGGGGGGGGGGGGCGCTAAGGCATGGCTTACACTGGGCTCCAGAACCTGAGCTCAGCCAGTGTGGAAAGGGGGAAGAAGCCTTTTGTCTGTCTGAAATCAACCCTGCTGTAGCCAGCAAGTACAAACTACAGAATTGGGATTCAGTAGACACGGAGCTCACCTGAGTGAGGGACCAGATTTCTCACAATTTGTATGTCGAGCTCTGGTTACATAAGCCACGGGCTTGCTGGTAAATGCTTATTCTGAATAGCCTTGTTCTGCATTGGAAGGAGACTGTTTGATTAGCGCAGTTTATATAACAGAAATCTGAGACCGGAGGAAGGGATTTGGCGGGACCATTGATTGCGTTGGAGGGGGGTTGGAAGGAAACTTCTCAGAGCGGGAGGCTCTTATTTTGGAGCCAGCACATGGGAACAAATTGTCCTCTGCACTCCACCCAACCGCATCCGCACACAGGCCGATCTAGTCCATCCATAGAAATGGGTTCCACTCCATTTGGGGAGAAGACAAGGCTATTTCTCTCCAAGGACGGAGCAAGGTTTAGGTGCATGCGCACAAGAGCTAATCAAACGGCACATTTAACAGTCATCCCACGGTCCCAACAGCATTCCAACCTCCCCCTGTTTTTTAAAGCTGAAAAGCATTTTCACAAAGGCTTTTTGGAGTAGGATTTTATTTTTGCAAGAGTGGATGCGTTCATTGTCTCTTTAAAATCTCTTTTTTCTTCCTCTGCCCCCCCCCCTTTTCTTTTCCTGAATTTTAACGGGCCTGAAAGTGGGACTCTGCCAAGATTTTAACATTAAAAGAAAAAAAAAGGTAGAAGATCAGCCTGTCCAAAGCCTGCCTAGGGTGCATTTTCCAGAACTTTCTCCCACACCCGCTCAGCTGAGGCTAGGGAGGCCGTGTGGGTGTCCACCAAAGCCTCATGCTTCAAGCGTGCACATTTCCCATTTTGTCTTTTGCCTCATCTGGACCCTGGGGTGGACTCAATCTCATCTCCGAGACTTTGTTATTTCAGTTTTTTGTCTCAATGTCACTTCATCAAGAAAATGCTAAATCCCCAACGGGGAGAATAAAGTCATAAGTTTCTTCATAGCTTTCTGTTAAATCTCCTAGAAGCCGCTGAACAGTGAGCCTGCTTCCCTCGGCTCTGTTTTTCCATCTGCAGAGGGAAAAACTCTAAAGCGTGTGGGGCAGTGTTCTGGGAACAGCTTAGGTCATGTCTCATTCCCTCAAAAGGTATAGAGAAAGCATCGTATAATTTAAATTCCATTCATCTGAGTCAATATAACCGATCAAACGTGGTTTAGTCTGGGTGTACTGCAGAAGTGGCCATGGAAGTATGTGATCACAAATGCACACATTATAAACGTGCAAATTCTGACATCCTGCCACACGTACAATGGTGTTAGCATACTCCCCTGTTGAGCCCTCTTTTTTCAGGACCTGCTCCCACCAGAAGGCCTCCCTGCTAATGCAGAACTCAACCCATCAAAAATTTGACTGTCCAGTCTGCATACCCGAAGGACAGCAATCGTGTTAAAATATGTAAGAATCAGTTGGAGTCACTAAAAGGCTCCTCCTTAGGAAGAGGTGTAGTGGATGGCTGTTTGAGACATGCCCTGAAGCCCCGCCCCTAGTCACAGTTACACCTGCCTATGACCTTGAGGTACATGCCCCTGGGGCGTGGCCACTGGGTGGGGGGGTGACCTTAAGACCTGACGCACATAAGTGCTCTCTCTTGGCTACCTCATGGTTTGAGATCTTGGACCCAGCCTTTCAATGTGGGACATAGCTCAGCTTTCCCGGACCCCTATGATAAATCTCCCGTGGTTGTGAGTTAACTCCCAAATAAATTCCTTTGATCATTAAGCTGATTCCATGGGTTGCTAGTGATTTAATCTCAATAAAGGGGAGTTGCTTCTCTACTCCACCATATCTTCGAGGGTAAGAGCTTCCGTCGACTCCACTGAGCAACCATAGACGGACTTTTCTTTCCCGCCTGCAAGTTCCCAAATAACCTACACAGAGACTTAATAATAATTATAGGTGCTCATCCAATAGCTCAGGTCGTTATTAGCTAACGCTTACATTTTAAATTAACCCGTATTTCTTGTCTACCCTCTGCCATGTGGCGGTACCTTCTTTCCATAGCGCATGTTCGTCTTGCTTCTCCCGGCATCTCTCACGACTCCAGACTCTGCTCTTCTTCCCATCATTCTCACTTTGGCTCTCCCACCTAGCCTTATCCTGTCCAGCTATTGGCCAGTCAGCTTCTTCCTTAAACCAATCACAGAGACGTATAGTCACACAGTGTAAAGGAATATTCTACAAGCATCAGCTTTTTCCTTTCCTAGAGGAAGGAAGAAATACAGCGTGGGCTGTAAATGTTAACAGACATACCCCAAGTTCTGGGGTCAGAAAATGCATATTTAAATGGCGACATTTGCCAGAGAGGTGTTTGTTTCCTGTGGTTAAGTGAGAATGAGATCTCCTGGAAGAGATTTCCTTCAGTTCTGGACATCTGTGTGACCTGGCACAGTAATAGTCTCTCCCTGCCTCGGTTTCTTCAACCATAAAAGGGGGACAGTGGTATCTACTTCATGGGGTCATTGGGAGGATTAAAGGGCTCACTTCATATGAAGTGCTTACAATGGTACTTGGTAACCTGGCAACAAATATGAGTGCAATTGTTCATTTACATTAGTCTTTTTTTTTCTTGTTCTAAATAAACCTGATGAAATGTAGAGTTCTTCTTCCCAGGGGAGACAATAAAATGAATATGTGTGGCTACACAATGTGTGGGTACAAGTTCATGGGTTCTAAAGACTGAGGTCTCCTGGTATTTCCCGCTGCTTGGTGAGGCAGTGGCTTTGGGCAGTGGCTCAGAACCTGGCTGCCTGGGTTGCAGCCCTGACTCAATGACTTCCTAGCATGTTCTGTGACACCTCTGACCACTTAGAAGATGCCTCTCCCTGTGGGCTTAGCCGTGGGTAGGAATAGATACAGTGAGATCAAGTGGCAGGTACTTGGAAAGAAACCACACGATTATTTGGAAGTAGGGACGATCCAGGCGCTCAGCCTGTTTCCAGCTCATGTCACAGAAGAGCCATGAGTGCGCAGCCTGGTTTCACGATCCTGAAAAGTTTCTCCTTTAATAAGAGTTAGGGAAAAAGAGAAAGGACAATGGCAAGAAAATAAATTCAAAACAGTGAAATAACATAGTTCTATAGATTGAAGAATACTAATTACTAAGAGGACTGAGCTGAGACTGTAGAACAGTGGTTCTCAACCTGTGGGTCGTGAACCATTGGGGGTGTTAAATGACCCTTTTACAGGGGTCATCTAAGACCATCCTACACATCAGATATTTACACTATGATGCATAACAGTAGCAAAATTATAGTTACAGAGTAGGAAGGAAATTAATTTTTATGGCTGGGGGTCACCACAATATGAGGAACCGTATTAAAGAGTCACAGCATTAGGAAGGTTGAGAAACACTGGCCTGGAATGATAGTGGGTTATGGTAGGGAGAAGCCTGAATTTGCTTCCAGGATCTGGGTTTAATCCCATATCCTTTACACAGCTGGTGGAACTCCAAACTTCTTCAGCTGATATCAGGAGCAAAAAGCAAGAGCTAGTACATCTCAGGAGGACGTGGTCACACAGAATATGCTTTCAGTAGGCATTGCTTATATGTACATCATGGCTGTATTTAGAAGGAAAAAAACCAGGGAAATGCACCAATATATTAGTATTTGCTATATTGGAAGGTATGATTATTGATTACTTTAATTTTCTTCTCTGTTTTTCTGTCCTTTCTGTAAATTGTTTTGTAATAAGCATGTGTTTTTAAATAATTAATTGAACAATTAGGTATCAGTCTATATACTCAACTCAGCTAGGCACTGAGGATCCAGCATCCATTGCCTCCTGGTGTTTACAGTATAAGACACTAAATAAGTAATCATACCAAGAATTAATTGCTTCCAGTGACAGGAGGCTCTACTGAGAAGTCGAGAAGACAAGGCACCAGGGGATATTTTACCTAAGCCTCGGGGTGACCTCCCTGAAGTATTATTATTTTAGAGCCGAAGTCTAAAGGGAAGAAGAGGAGGAAAGAGGAAAATGTATTCCAGGTGGACAGAAGAGCATGCTCTAAGACCCTAAGGCAAGGAAACTTCAAGAGATTTAGAACATACCAGAGTGCTACAGCTTGGAGGGAATGGAGGCTGTGCAAGTGAACATAGGCTGGGGCGAGTGTGGCTCCACAGAGCTCGTTAATAATAACTTTCTCAGCCTTTAGAATGCAGTTTAGAGACAAGATCCTACTGTGTAGCCCAAGCCGGTCTTGAACTCATCCTTTTGCATCAGCTTCCCAACTATCGACGTTACAGGTTTACACACACATGCCAGCCTTTGCATCTTGTTTGAAAATAAATGGAAAACAAGGTTTTAAGCAAAGATGTGGTAACATAAAGCTGTGTTCATTTTAGAAAACTAAAAAAAGAGAAAAAATTTCAAAGAGTTGTCATCTATAATTTTGGAGTTCTTGGCTTCGGATTCATAAGGCCAATTAAACAGACTCCTCCTATATATAAAATCATATATATTTATGATGTGTGCATATTTATACACACACACACACACACAAACACACACACACACACAAGCGGCTCCCTCTTTGGGGTTGGAGATGACTCCATGGTTAAGAGAGCATGCCGCTCTTCTAAAGAACCTGAATTTGGTTCCCAGCAACCACACTGGGCAGATCATAACCACCTATAAATCCAGCTCCAGGGGATCAGGCACCCTCTTAGAGTCTCCATGGGCACCTAGACATGTGAGGTATTCACCTCTACAGATACACACATACACATAAATAGAAATTAAGAATTGTTTTTTTTAAAAAAATAAACAGCTCCCTCTACACACAGCCTGAGGAGTTGAAGCTGGCACAGCCTGCCATCTGCCTCTGCTGCCATGGTCTAGGGCAATGGAGCAGGCAATGGAGCATGCTGGGAAGACAGAAGCTTGTGGTGGAAGGCAACCAGAGACTCTTTCTCCTGTCGACATGGGGAGCTGAGACATGCAACTGTCCTGAGAGTGTTCTGTCATAAAACTTCATGGGCCATGGAAACACAACGCAGTTTAATTCCTAGACCAGCTGTGGTCAAAACACAGCTGGGCAGATCACTGTACCTAGAACCTGATGAGTGGGGAAGGAGTTTTTCAGCCCAGGTGTGCAAAGCTAGGTCAGTGTCCCATTAACCATGGCGTACTGAGGTCGTGACCACCGGGGCCCTTCCTGATCTGATGTGTGAGGAACTCAGGCATGCCCACACCAAGATGTTACATTTCTACTTTAGGCCGACTGTGCTGTGTCTACTTGGCAAATGATTGGAACAGAAGTAATTGGTTGCTTGACTGTGGAATAACAAATGAGATACTTTCAGCAAATACACCTCACCCAGTGCCCCCAAATCATCTGGGCCTGTCCTGATCTCCAAGGTGTGTGAACAACAGAGTTAACTGTGAACCTCCATGCCAGCTCCTGAAGGAACTCTGAAGTTTAGTGGGCTCGGGAGCTGCAGAAACAGACATCTGGTGGCCAACCTTTGCCTGTAATGAGCAGTTATTAAATATTCACATCAGGAGCTGGGACTTGTATCAGCCAGCCCTCAGCTGCTCTTCCAGCCTGCTACCTATTACACCTCACACTTTATATACCCCCAAATCCAACAAGTTCTGTAAAACTTGCCACTGACATCAGGGTGGGTCTTGGAGGCTTATGGTTGCTTACGGTTATCCTAATAAAACCCAGGAATGTGTAACAGGCCATAGGCAGCAGACCACCAACTACTTTATTGTTAGAACACAAAAGAAGAGCTCTGGTAACCCTGCCGTACCTGAGGCGCAGCGTGTGGCCAGTTCTTAACCCTTGAAGACTCTATTATTCACCCAATGTTGGGTGACATCTGTGTGTTTCTTGTTTCCGTGTGATGAGTCCGCTAAGTTACACAGTCAGACAAGAAATACTGATGAGGAGTGGTTATGAACTACAGATTGGAGCTTGCAAATCAATTTGGAATTTTTTTTTTACATAAATTCAAACCAGATCTGTGGGGGCAGCCTTTTCTCAGCTAACAGAAACATGAACAGAAGAGGGGTCTGAGCAGACGGGCAGTCAGCCAGCCTGAGGATAGGTGGGAAGGAGGTCATCTGTGACTCCAGGATATCTGTCTGTCTGTCTGTATCCTATCTATCTATCTATCTATCTATCTATCTATCTATCTATCTATCTATCTATCTTCTTTCTTGATCCTCACGTGCGGGGGCTCCATCTCTTCCTCTTATAGTACAGATGCAGGAGAGGTCCCATGCCAGCAAGAATATAGGAAGTTCTCACGGGTGTTCACTGAGGAGCATTGGATAAGTAAAAGGGCTACTTAGTGAGGTGTAGGCTTGTCGAAAGACATGGAGAACTGGAGAGGGCCCAGGGCTACCACCACGAGGGGTCTGCACTCATCCCTAAACTGAAGGGGCTCACACAGGAGTCAGGCAGGAAGTTCACCCAACGGAAGTGGCAGATCAGCTGCCTGGCAAAGAAAAGGCCGTGGAAGGAAAGGGTGCATCTGAGGGAAAATAGGAAAATAGGAATAAATTCCATATTATTCAGTTAGCGTACTCGGATCCAAGCATCCAAACCTAAAAGATACAAAATCAATCAATCAATCAATAATAAATAAAGTGTCCTCGTGTAGAAGGGCATCGTGGGAAGATTTAGTGGAGGAGGTGGGGGAGGCTTCTCTGTTTCCTAAATCATACCTGGAAATTGAAGGTCTCTAGTCTCAGAGATGCTCAGTGGTGTGAGGAAGAACATCTCCAGGTGAGACCTGATATACACATGAGGCTTTCTGCCTTACATGAAGAATACTGAGTTCACTGGTGCGTCAATATGCTGCGCGTACCTTCAACGCACACACCTTTGCACCGAAAAGAGAATTTCCTCATTAACTTTGCTAGCAGCTGCAGCTAGAAAGTTGTGCAATCACGATAATACCTTCTCAATAACCCCTCTGCTTCTGCTCTTTCTTCCTCTGAGCCGAGAGCTGCTGCATAACCATTAGAATCTTCTTTCCGAAAGTTCCTGCGAAAAACCTGCCCTGACGCCCACCTTGACCCCAAACTCCCTAAGAGGACTCACAGTAGCTTCTACAGCCTCCCCCTGTATAACTTCCCCTTCTCTCTTAGGTGCCTTCCACACCGATATTTTTTGTCCTGTCCTCCATGACACAAGGTCCCTTTTTCTGACCCCACTGGCTCCAGTGCCATCCTGCAGGCATACACTCCTGGATGTTTGGAGATGTATCCCAGGAGTGAGCCTGCAGACTGTGACCCCCTACCTCCTCCAGCACAGCCTACACCATATCGCAGTGCCTCATCCCTCTCCTCCATGGAGAACACCGAAGTCAGAGCAGTGGCCTCCGTCCTCTGCCACCCGTACAGAATCCAGGCAGAGCTGGCATTTGAAAACAACCAAAGAAGCAAACCAAATTGTAATTACCCATAGGAAAGTGATTCTTCCTCTTAACTCTAAAGAGACACAGCCTACATAGATGTTTAACTAGTATTATTCGGCTCCTCTCTGTATTCTCCAGCTCCTTGAGAATTTGTTTAAATCAAAAGCCACAGCATTTGGAAAGCTGATTGATTAAAGGATGTTTGGTGGAATGGCTGGAAGGCATCGGTGGGCAAAAATCAGCCCCAGTGTCTAGAAGCTTCCAGGGACCTTCCAGGAGAGGAGGTAATGTTTGTCACCTGTGGATGACAGTCCAGATTTTTTGGGAATGTCACCATTGAGAGGCAGTCTTGATGTTCCCTGGGCTTTATTTTTCTATAATTCTAAGATGGCTCCCAAATACAGCCTACTCATCTGCTTAGTGGGAAGCGTCTGCACAACCATGGGGCTCCAGGTCTACCTTGCATAGTTTCCGGGTGTATTTTTTAACAATGGTCACGCTAATGACTCAAGTCATCCACAGGTACCTCATGAGCTGTACCTCTGACGTCACATTTTACCTCACACTAGAGCCTCTTCCCCAGACTCTTTGCAATCCCGTCATGATGGTTGGACCACAGCCACAGTGCAGTCTCACCCATCAGCGGGAGCGTTCCCTCCTGGGCTAACCAGAGCGCTTGCACTTTGGCATACAGTATGTTACCTCAACCATCAAACCCAATCTTCAGTTGGTTTATCTTTTAGAAAAATACACGCTTCCAAATTTTAAAGATGCTGAGGAAGACGGGGTTAGGGACAGGGAAGCCAGAGTACCATAAGCAAAGCTGAGATAGTGGCTGTCACTGTCCCAGCAGCAGGGGACAAAGGAAGAGGCTGGCACTAGCTGCCCCAGCAGCCTTCAGCCTTCCTTCCTTCTTGCCCCACCAATGCCATGACCACCAGCACAGTCTGAGGGATCAGAACAAGGAATGCTCGTCCTGTCCAAAGGAAAAGGGATGTGCCTCAGGATTCTAATCCCTTTGATAAGCATTCTACGCTGAGGATCAAAATCACCATCAGAGGATGGAGGAACCCAGTTGATTAATTAGTCTGTGATTAGCCCAGAGTTTAATCCCCAGCATTAAAAAAAAAAAGAGGGGGGCACACTATTGACTGAAGCACTACTACCACCACTACAACACAGAACTGTCTTGCTAGAATGTGAAGACTCATCTAATTCAGTGATTCAATAGATATGGGCAGTGAGTAACTGGAAACCCCAGCGTGATCAAGAGCATATGTCAGCACATGTGGTGTGCTCTAATGCTGAACAAACCGCCAGGAAAAGCACCTGTCCTACTGTGTCACCAGCTGAAGGCTTCAGCGGAGACTGCCGTCTCCTCACCTGCTGATCTCTCCTGTGACAGTCGCAGCTCAGCCACAGAGTTCTCCAGAAGGGGATGTAGGAGGTAGGGGTCTTGGGATCTATCAGACCCCAGCTTCCAATCTTGGGGTGGTATCTGCGCCGTCGTTCTGAAGACATGGCCTTGATCCACCAACTGCAAAACTTAAACAAAAAATATAGAGGCCGGGTCTCAATGGCACAGGCTATAACCCGGGTGTATAGGGGTGGAGCCTCAGTGGCATAGGCTGTAATACCAGCTATATAGAGACTAAATCTCAGTGGCATAGGCTGTAATCCCAGCTGTATAGAGACTAAATCTCAGTGGCATAGGCTGTCATCCCAGCTGTATAGAGACTAAATCTCAGTGGCATAGGCTGTAATCCCAGCTGTAAAGGAGCCAGGCCTCAGTGGTGTAAGCTATATCCCAGCTACTTAGGAGGTTAAAACAGAAGGATTCCAAGTTCGAGGCCTATTTGGACAACTACTAAAACCCTGTCTCATGATGGGAGGGGAGAGAGAGAGAGAGAGAGAGAGAGAGAGAGAGAGAGAGAGAGAGGTGTTCTAAGTGTGTAACTCTGGTAGAACATTTACCTAGCATGTACACAGCCCTAAACTCAATTCCCAGTAATGGGGTGGTGGTGGTGGAGGTGTATGATTAGATACAGCAATTGTTATATTATATGTGATAGTTACATTCACACTAAAATTTGCATGAAGTCTTTTAGAATTTCTTTCATTTGTCCTTTGACATTTCATACGTGTATACAACATACCTAGATGTTATCCACCCCAGCTCCCTGTCACACACCTCCCAGACAGCCCCACATGTCCCCCTCCCAAGTCTATTTATTTATGTATGTATGTTACGTATGTTTTAACCTACTGCGCTCCGTCCGCGCTGACTTCCGGGAGAACTGCTCTTGCTGGTGTGCTACCGCGCAGGTGACTATGGCAACCGTGAGTTTGTAAGCACCGTGACTGCGTCGTGTGCAGTCAACTGCATTTCATGGCGCTCCTCCTCCTCCTGCAATTCTTACGTCCTTTCCTCTGAGTCTTGGTGGAGGGGGTTTGATACAGACATCCCGTTCAAGGTCGAGCGCTCTGCGTCACCTTTTCCTCAGCACTCTGACCATCCACGAGCCATGGCATTCACTGTTGCATGAAGACGCTCAGTGCAAACTTATTCATAAATTCCCCCGATTTGGAAGCAACCAAGATGTCTTGCAGGAGGTGAGCAAGACCCAGCAAGCAATGTAATAGTATTCGGCCATAAGGAGACGCGTGTTTTTAAGCCGTGAACAGACGTGGAGGACTCTGGAAGGAAAGAAGGCAGTCTGAGAAAGTCACATGCGTGTCATTCGAACTCTATGACGTGCTGGAAAAGCAAAACCATTGAGACAGTGAGCCATGCTCGCCGGGGACCAGAGATGAAGGAGGGAAGAGTTGGCAGAGCACACAGGATTTTAGGGCAGTGAGACGGTTCTGTAGAATACTGCGATGGTGGATTTGGGTCACTATACATTTGTCCAGACTATGAACAAAACGAACCCTAATGTGAGCTGTGGACTCTGGCAGATAAGTATGTGGGTTTGTGGGCTGTAACAAATGGATTAGGGGCAGGGGCAGGCAGGGAGTAGACAGAAACTCTCTGTGCTGTGGTCCCAAAACAGTTCTGAAAAACAAAGATTTTTATTTTTTATTTTTTGTCTAGCATGTTAGAAAGAGAGCAAAGGAAGGTAATTCTTTACATTTTTTTCCGTACAAGGAATTAAACTCAGGGAGCCCGGGGCCTGCTGTGCTCCACTAAGCTACAGTATCAGCCATAGGTCTTGTAAATATTTGACTTAAATGCCAGTGGTTAGGCCCTGACTGGTCTAGAGAAGCACATCCCCCCCCCCCCATGCTTCATTTAAAAATACTTCTTTTATTTATTTTTAGTTGTGTGTGTGTGTGTGTGTGTGTGTGTGTGTGTGGGCTTGTGCACGTGTGAGTGTAGATGCCACAGAATCCAGAAGACAGTGTCCTAGAGCTGGAGTTACAGGCTGGTGTGAACTGCCTCCCCCACCCCACTCCCACCTTGTGGGTGCTGGAGACCAAACTCTCCTGCATGAGCAGTACACGCTCTTAACCACCGAGTCACCCTTCCAGCCCTGGAGTGTTTTATTTTTAATGCCATGTGGGGTGAAGCCATTTTCAGTGTGTAGTGGGTCACCTCCCTCTGTGTGAGAAGCCACGCCTGCCTCCTCAGCATCCTATCAGCACCTCGTCCAGGGCAGCCTGTTTTCTACCTAGAAGACCATGCTGAGTAGGGAGATGGGGAGACTAGGTTTCTTCTCTGGAACCCTATCACATGTATGCAGGGACCCTATAGCATGTATGCAGGAACTCATCAACATGTATGCATAGGTCTGACCTGGTCCCCACAGCTCACTGAACTTGCTGAGTTCTTAAAGGAGGGCGCTGCTACCACACTAATCCCACCTTCCCACTGAGGTTAGATGGTCTTCGGAGACACTCAAGGTTGGATCGCGTGGAGTGATTAGCTGTATCACAGAGGCGGCCCTCAACAATGTGATGAGACCCCGGGCTGAGAACGGCGGGTGGGTGGCAGACCACACTGCTTGACTTTCTTGTCCCGAGTTTCTCGACTGAAGGTGTCTCTCAGAGAAGGGACAAAGGTGGGCAGGTTTTACAGAGTGGAGCTAAGCTTGTCGTTTTACTAAAGGAACTGATGGGTTTATCCAGATTGAAGCCTACCGTTCAGAGTCATCATCCAAGTATCGTTTCCCCCAAACACTGCAATATTATTCCACAAACCACAGATTCTTTTCTGTTCCATCTCTCAAGACTAATAATGTCTTTGCCCACGTTATTATTTCACACTGCAGCCTCTGCCTGAAGCCGCGAGTGTAGCGAGACAAGGGAGAGAGCTTTTGAAGATTACGGTGGGCAAGAGCGACCTCTGCTGGGCGAATGGGACATACTCGCACCCGCCCTGGACTATCCCAGAAAGACTATGCGATGCTTGTGGAGAAACAGAAAAAAAAAAACACTTCCGTTTCTCTTTCTAAACTATATGGGGTTAAAAATCAAACACGTAGATTTACCTTTTCTTAGTAGTGTTGTAGAAACAAACCATGTTACATGCTCCCCACTTCTCCAATCTATTGGCACCTACGTGGTTTTTCAGAGAGCCTCTCAAGTCTTGCACACAGGTTCTAGGAACCCCTCACTGTTGACTAGCTAAAGGACTTCTTTCCTATCTACCTGCCTGCTGGAAGTCCAAGCTGTTCATGCCCAGGCAGGAGCGTGTGTTGCCCACTTCTGATAAGTCTGAGGTGAGGGGCAGGCTCTCACGCTGTATTTTCTCGACTCCTTGGAAGTAAGGTGAGTTGGGGACCGGTCAACGTGCAGGTCAAATGCATTCAAAGAGACATCGACACCCCCCTTTTTTGTCAGGCTTTCCTCCTTGATTGCAGAGGAATTTGGATAGTTTCAAGACTGTTGGTCCTTAACTTGTGGTGGGAGAACATTGTGAATACTTTTGAAAATAATGAACTGAAAATGATCAAACTTATCAGGAAAAAAAAAAGTCATTAACTTTTCCCTGAAAAATGAATTTCTGCCTTTAAAAATCCTGATTTGCCATTACAAAAATATGCTGGAAGACTGGCAAGGCATGTGTGAATTTGGGGGCAGGAAGTTATTAACGGTTGGTAGGCAAGCCTTTAATTTTGGAATGAGTAAGTTAAAATAAGTTAATTTTAGAGGTTTCTCTGTCTATATGAACATTTACCAAAGGATGGGGTTAGGAAACTCGTGGGAATTTCCAGCTTCCTATCCATAAGGAATCTGGCTGTTCTCACGGTAGAGACAGGTACAGTTGATCACCCGTTGTGCTCCTTAGCTCCACCCAAGCTAGTCATCTGAGAAGAGGGGACTTCAGTTGAGAAAATATCCCTATCAGATTAGCCTGTAGGCAAGCCTGTGGGGTATTTCCTTGGAAGAGCCCAGACCACTGTGGGCAGGTGGTTCCGGGTTGTAAAAGAAAACAAACTCAGCAAAGCCAGAAGGAGCAAGTCAGTAATCAGTGTTCCTCTGTGGTCTCTGCTTCAGGTCCTGCCTCCAGGTTCCTGCCTCCAGGTTCCTGCCTCCAGGTTCCTGCCTCTAAGTTCCTGCCTCCAGGTTCCTGCCTCTAGGTTCCTGCCTCCAGGTTCCTGCCTCTAAGTTCCTGCCTCCAGGTTCCTGCCTCCAGGTTCCTGCCTTGGCTCCCCTAATGATGGACTGGGAACTGTAAGGCAGATAAACCCTTCACTCCCGAGCTGCTTTTAGCCATTGTGTTTAGCCAACTAAGACACCCCCACCAGTGCAACCCCGCTTCCTCCTCCACCAACCTGTATCCACCAACTCTGTCTCATCTCCTGAATGGTACTAGGAGAAAAGCTGCTGTGCTTTTCTTATGGTTGATCCAAGGATCTGGTGTGATGAGATGCTTGGTTTCTTGGGTAATGCAATTGGAAAGGAATGGAACCATTAATGTGGGGCCTCATGGAGGATCCTTGGGTTATTGGGTGTGAGTTCTGGAGTGGCCGCTTGGGTTCTCGGGAGAGGATTGTTATAAAAGAAGGAAGCCTGACATCTCTACTTCAGGATGTCGTCACATGCTTGCTCCCATCACTACTATTTGCCTTGCAGTGATGTAGCCAAGGGGCAGTCACCTAGAGCCCGTGCTTTTTGGACACTTGATTCTCTGAAACATCGTGATAAGTAGCCTGTCAGGTATTTTGTGTGGTGATGCAATGTTGACTATTTTTTAAAATGTACACACAGATCTAAAGATAATGAAGACAGCGTTCTCCACCTGTGAGGCGTGCTGTTGGGGAGGGGGGAAGAATTCTGACCCGTCAAATTTAGAGTTTGCACTGCTCTGTCTTCCTTCCAATCTTACATTCTCAGATGGGCCCATTGAGGGCTACAGCATCCTATCTCCGGGCACTCACTAGGATCACAGTACAACAGTGTGAACTCTGTCAAAGCTAAGTAGCTCTCAAAGCTAAGTAGTCAACTCTTAGCAAAACCAGCTTCCCACCGTTTGCCCTTGAACCTTGTGGCAGGATTAAGGAAGTGTTTTTCTCTTCAGTAAGCAGGTTGCTCAC